GGGGGCTGTGCCGAGTGGACCTCGGATGCCGTCCTTGGCCAGGCACTCATGAACCATAGGCGGGATGAAGGCCGCACTAGGGGAAAAGTAGACGCCACTCTTTCTTGTGCGTAAGACGTGCCAAGCAGAGTTTCCTCATAGTTTGCAAATTAAGCAAATCTATGAAGTACCTGCCGCCTGTGGTTCTATCAGACCTGGCGTCGTCTAATTCTGTCGAACCCCTTAGTACCTCACGGCAAGCCTGCTGACACCCAGGTCCTAAGATCCTGTGTATGCTCCTCTGTCCTCGATTCTGTGCCGCTGCTCCTGGCCGGTGTGGCTCCCCATCTGTAGCTTACCTTGCTGCAAACTCCCACAAGCAGGGGTCTGAACTTGACACCATTTCGACGGTTAGAAGAACTACCAGCAAGCTTAGCACGAAGCCCAGCACATGTACTTGGCGAACCTTCTCATTTCTCTACCGGACAAGCCTTAGGATCCACATCCCTCCACCCAATCTAGTCCCCTTGAGTAGTACTCACACGTATGCCAGGGTGGCGCTGAAGTGCTTGTAAATGTAGGTTTCAAGGACAGGGTTAAAATGCTGGAACTTGATGTCTCCAATGAGTGAGATAATAAATACCTGCCGAAGGTGGAACAAACAAAAACCAACAACATATACACCGCAGCCCGGCACCTCCCCAACTTCCTTCCGTCTCTGGAGCCTTTGCTTCTCTCCTGATGGTTTCCATAGCCTCGGCCCTTTGGGATTTCAGCGCTGAGGGAAGGCCTCAAGGTCTGCGTTTATTTAACACGGGTCATTGGCAGGCGCGGTGAAGAGACCAGTAATAGCTGGCACACCTGGTCCCAGAGAGAAGGTGCTCAGGGACCAGGCAACACACATCACGGAAGAGGAGACAGGAGGAAGGAGGATAAGGAAAGGCGTTTTTTTCCCAATCCCTAGGGATGTCGCTCTTTGAAGAGCCCACATGTGTCTTCTCGAAAGTTGCTCGTGCCCCTAACATTTGAACGTCATCCGAGCATTTCTTCCCCGCTCAGATGGCGACACTCATGGCTGTCTGGAAATGCCCGTCTTTCTCTGGCGTATGACAGAAGAGTGTGCAGGTTAGGAATGCACGCCTAGCCATCCATGCCCAAGGTTAGGGGCCGAGCCTTCTAAAATGGCCCCGGCCTTGTCTAGTAGGCCAGACTCATCATTTATCTTTTCCATCAGCCTGGCAGAGCTGCTCGGACTTGGGATGTGGGTATGTCCTGCCTCCTGGCCACAGCTTTGATCACTAGTTGGCAAGGCCCTGGCCAGCTTCTGGGGATGGCAAATGTGCCATTCACCCTCTTTCTCAGCTCTAACACGTCATTTCACCCAAACAATGAGAAACAGCGGGTTGCCAATGTTGGTCTGCTTGTGTCTGCTTCCATCCCTCCGTCGCCATCCTGGCCCTCCCAGGCTCAGATATCGTCCAGCCCGTGTGTGGATGGCAGTTCTCGGGAAGGGTTGTCGGGCTAAGTGCTTTGCATGACAAAGTAATGGGGATACGATTCATCTCTGACGTGTGACTTCAGCAGTCCTTGTATAGACCCCACATAAATCTTCTGTTACTTATTGCTGCTGACAAGGATCACAACCCCCAATCCAGGAGGTAGCAGCAGTTAGAAACAAAGAAGGCTGGATGGTTTCATGTGTTTATGCAAGGAATGCTGACTTCACAAGGGGCCCTGGTGGCCGTGTGGGCTCAAGCCCTGGGCAGTTAACTGCAAACCCACTAGCTACTCCACGGGAGAAAGGTGGGGCGCCTGTGGTTCTCAACCTTCCTCAGGCCATGACCCTTTCATGTAGTTCCTCCTGTTGTGGGGACCCCCAACCACAACATAATTTTCATTGCTACTTCATCACTGTCACTTGGATACTGTGATGAATCGGCGGCTCCTGTGAAAGGGTCATTAGGCCCCCAAAGGGGTCTGGACCCACAGGTTGACTGGCAGGCTCTGAAACACTACATAGGGTTGCTGTGCGTCAGAACTGACTGGGGGGCCACCAGCAGGGCTAGCAGATTGGCCTCCACGGTTACAAAGAGGCCCCTGATGTGTCTACTAGAGCCACACTTTGCTTTCCCTCATGTGAAAGAGAAAGAGTTTCCAAACAGCATCCCGCTCTAGCAGGACCCAAAGCGCAAACGAACCTGCACAGAAGTCAACCGTTTCTAAGGTTACTCCTCCGAATGTAGCCTAAAAGGAACGGTCCGAGAGATGTGTACAAATATTGATATTCAAGGACAGTCCACACAGCTACTTATACAGTTTGCGGAGAAGTGAAATTTCATAATGCGGCTCTTCTATGCACGACCTCTTTGTTGAGAATATTGTAAATTCTAGCCTCAAAGGACCTGTGGTGACGATTCCATTTGGGAGGGAGTTTTTCTGTGCCGGTTCTGGGCAGGATTAAGATGGGGACACATCCTGAACTTCCACCTGACAAGAGGGCACCAGGTCACTGCCCTTTGTGCCCTAGGGCGTCTAATCTGCTGAAATATAAAAACAGCACCTGGGGAGGGGGGAGGGCAGAGCTAGCTCAGAAGCAGAAAAGAGAATTCCCAGGACCAGCAGTAAGCAGAGCTGCCAGGGGAGCAGATCTGAAACCCTGCTGGAAGCGGCGGAGGCTGCAACCAGAGGTATCAGAGGCTGAAGCAGAGACCCGGGACAGAGCACAGAAGCCACGGTAGGGTTCCTGTCCCAGAGGCACAGGCCAAGGACCCCGTGGCTGAGAGGCTGAGGACCAGAGAGACAGAGCTGGCTGCTGGCTAAGAAGAGGCATTGCTGTAGAAACAATGACTTGTGGCAATGTGTTAGCTTCTCTAATAAAAACAAATCCCAAACTAAACTCACTGCCATTGGGTTGATGCCAACGCAGCGTGACCTCGCAGGACAGGGTAGAACTGCCCCTGTAACTCCTTACGGGAGCAGAAAGCCCTGTTTTCCCCCAAGGAGCAGCTGACTTCACACTGGTGACCTTGTACATGGCAGTCCAACTCCTGGTCACGGAGGCCCCGTGACTGTCAGTTCTGCCTGTGGGTTCTGTGTGGCCCATGCAATGCATTACTGAACCTACCAGGAAAGGTGAGTGTCAGGGGGAACGGTGAGAAATGGAGGGGGGAGGCCTGTCTGACCTCTCCCTGGTGGTCACTGGCCTTGGACTCCCTGCTGTAGCCAGAGGAAGTCTGAACTGGCCGCCACACCATTTATACAATAGTAAAACCTGCCAAAGCCGGAGGATATGGGAGGTGGGCACCTGTCAGAGAAGGAACACTCAAAAACAGTTCCCGCGGATGGAGAGTGATGAAAAACTGACAAAAAGCGTTCAAGGAAAACTCGTGAGACCAGAAAAGCAAGGTGGTCCTGCTGGGCTGCAGTCCCACAGGGTTCTGTGTCGGCGTGGAAACCCCGAAACCTACATCACATCAGCGTGGAAACCCCGAGACCTACACAGGTTCAAGAAGAAACACCCGCCCACACGCTGAACTGCTTACCAGGGCGTCAAACACAAGAAAGTCATACGTTTCGTTGTCCGACATTTCCATCATGATGTTAAAAAGCGCGTCTAGTGTGTCTTGCAAAAACTGAAAGGGAACCAGATAAAGAGAGCGGTTATTCGGGTGCTTCCCTTTCCGCTCCATTCAGCAGGAATTCTGCGGGAAGGAGCACTTAATAGAAGTAGTGATAAAAAGAGCATTTTCTTTAAAATTAGCACACTTGCGAAACCACCGAAGACAGAATGTTCTCACTGATAACTGCTTTAGTTAAAAACGTTTACCGACGGCTACAGCGGACGGACACCTTTCTAACACTGAGCGCATGCACATACCTTAACGATTTCTCCTCCCTCCACCTCCATTAGCTTCCTGAGGTTGTGTTTGATGTGCTGGGCGTTGGATCGCCAATTTAACAAGCCCAACAGGTCAACTGAGAAGAAAAGCACAAACCGCAGGCATCAGACGCTCATCGGCAGGAGCGTTCCGGGGACAGCAACAGAGCCTTCTAGACACCGCAGCTGCTTGGCTGGTGGCTCATTCAAGAAGGACGCTCTGTACTCTTCATTTACTGCCTCCTGCTAAGCCAGAAAACACCATGCCGACCCCTCCCAGCCTTCAAAGTGGAGAGAACAATGAGCCACAAACCTGCACCAACATAACATGATATAGTACGACGAGAACTTACATTTCCCGTGATGGCATCACCATCATAAAGAGAAGCCTGACAGCGCTCTCATCCACTCCCCCCACTCGCTCTCCAGGGGTAAGAGGAACTAGCAGGGCTTGCTTGTGCTTATGTAAATTCCCCCACCTTTAAATTGCTGGATTGCTTCAATTTTCCACGCGCACTCGCACGCGCGCGTGCACCCACACACACTCACTCACTAATTCATTTAAATTTGCAAGCACATAGTGGATTTCATCCCTTTCCATTTCTTTCAGATGAGGGGTTTGGAATTATAGAAATCCATGACTCACTCCCATTTCTAACCTGCACTAGGAGTTGTGTGGCTTTGCAAAATTCAACTACTTGCCTAAAGCCACACAACTTCTAGTGCAGGTTAGAAATGGAAGTGAGTCATAGATTTCAACAATTCCAAACCCCACGTTCTTACTGCTCTAGCGCCACACCTCCCCAGGCTTCGGTGAGCAAACAGGGCAAACCAATCTGACTGGTTGCAACTCCAAAGGAAAGCAGAGGGTAGGGCAAGCCTGGGACAAAAATCTTGAGTGTTCTTGGACTTAAAATACAGAATCTTGAGTCTGCGTCAGTTATACCTGGAATAAATGGTGGATTGCTGGAAGTGTCACGGAGAAACATTGCAGGTGTCAGGGCAGGGTTGATTTTGTCATTTTCTTTAGTATTTCAAACTACTGTTAACATTTTTGGAGCAATCGTTAGCACTCAACGACAACCGGCAACGACGACATTTTGTAAAATTAGCAAAACATACTATTTATTGCTAAACTTTTGTAAACTCTTGTGGTAGTTATATAATCTGTTGTCAATTTGAGAGGATTAAGTGTGAAGGGGTGGAGTGTAGCCTGTCAATCAGGTTGCAGCTTGATGAAATTTGGAGGCTCTAAAGAGATAAATACCTCGCTTGAGGTGGGACACAAGCTCACTCCCTGGGAGACATGGCAGCTGACAAGACACATGGAGCTACTCTATTGCCCTGAGCTGGAAGAGTCACGTGGAGACCCCCTGCCAGCACTGAGATGCTTACAATGTCACTGGATCCACAAGACTTCCCACCCACTGGCCTGTGATCTTCCTGCACTTGGCATCATTGCATGTGTTTCTAGAGTCTGAAGAGGACTGTATAGATTGGTATTGGACATATGGGCTAATATTGGACTTGATCTGGACTGGTACGTTTTCTTCTTAATGTACAATTACTCTATATAAAGCTCTTTCTTATACACATCTGAGTGTGTATAAATTTCTCTAGTCTACCCAGGCTAACACAAATGTACACCTGCATCTATATGTTTATAGACACATCTGAGTCTCTGCCTGGTGCAAGAGATGAACATGCTTAGCAATCTACTTCCCCAAAACCAACCACTGAAAACCAATGGAGGACAATCTTACTCTGACACACAGAAGTGTTCCAGGAGTCAGAAAGCCCATGGCAGTTGGTTTGTGGGTGCGCGCACATGCACGCATGCACACACACACACTCAAAGTTGCAAATGTACATGTTAAAATAGTCACTTGGTCTCATGGGGATGTTTTATTGGCTTATTGCCTACCACTGGGAAACCTCCAAAACCCAGCGCCTGCTGACGCCCCTCTCTATTGAAACAAACTGAATGGCCACACAAAAAACGTGGTCAGGCCCACCTATATGGAAGCCCAACAACATTCACACTTTTCTCCCTCCTCAGCAGCAGAATGGGATTGCTCATGACTCCTTAAACTGTGACATGCTCTGAAATGTCCTCATGCCTTTCCTTTGCCTGAAAAGGCCGGACATACTATGAACGAGGGAACTCCTACTGCTATTTCAAGCATTCAAGCTTTCTTTTTTTTTTTTTTTTCATTCAAGCTTTCTTTCCTCTGCGAAGCCTCATCTAATCCTTCTCCCCACCCTGAACATTCACCCCACTGACTGCTTGGGGGTGTCTGTTTCTGTTATAGTGCACAACAGAGGCACACGTCCTGTCTCCCTAATTCATCCCATCGATTGGAGCCCCTTGAGGGTAGGAACAATAGTGCATTCAATCTTATAATTTATCGCATGCCAGGCACCTTAATCATGTGCTCACTAGCTGTCTGATGGAAGAATAAATGAAGAAGTAAACGAGTGGAAAAGGAAATGATTAGCCCTGAATGCAAGCAAAGAGTGAGCTCAATCTGATTCATTAATTTATTAAATCATTCAGCAGACACTTAATAATAGACACTGTTCTAGGCATGGGTTCCCTTCCATCTTCCTCATCTCTTGCCAGTTACTTTATCCCAGGTCAGTTATTCAATGGTATCACTTGGTATTTCACGCCACTCATTATTACCTGACAAAAGGGAACTGGGTATTTCATCAAGGATGACAGAATAGCAGGTGGCCGGGCGAGCTTAAGCACTGTGCTGCTAACCGCAAGGACAGCCATTCAAATCCACCAGCCGTGCTGCTTGAGAAAAATGAGGCTGTCTGCTCCCCAAAAGGTTCCCAGTCTTGGAAACTGTATGGAACACTTCTCTGCCCTGGGGGCTTGCTGTGGGTTGGACTCAGCTTGGAAGGCAGTGACGTTGTTCAAGGGTCATCCAGGGTGAATTTCTACTCAGCAGCATTAGCCCAGCAGAGAACTTCTCCCTCGATCCATTGCTCCAAAGAGATAATCTTTGTATGCCACACCAAAAGGCAGTTAGGGCTACACTGTGGCATCTTCTAGATCATAAGGTCATACAGGCTGGAAGAGCATAACCTGATGTGTGAAAGAGCACTTCTGACTTGCCATTTCTGGGGTCCGCTCAGGTGGATGCATGTAGCTATTCTAAATTTATTTCCATTGCTGTGTAGTGTTTACCCCAGGATGTGGATAAACCACAATTAACCTGTTCACTCTACCATTGACAAACACTTGGGTTATGTCCAGTTTTTGACGACCACAGCAACTCTACTGTATCTATTCTCATGTGTCTCTGTTACACGTACAGCAACTCCTCTGACATGACTAGGAGTGGACTTGTTGAGCCATCAGGAAGGACCACACTGAACCGTATGACAAAATCTCACCTGCGGGCAAACTGTTCGAACCCTGGAGCTCGGAGTAGCACCGCCTCAGGTTTTCCAAGACTTGACATAAACACACGGTCCCATCTTTTTCCTGCAGAGCAGCAGGTGGGCTCAAACTGCTGACCTTCAACCATATGAAAAACTAAACAAACACCTATTGCTACTGGGTTGATCAGAGACTGTCTAAATGTTATATCAAGTGGTTGTGCCCATCAGCGGAGTGTAAGAATTCCAAACCTTTTCTAATGCCGAATAAAAATGACAAGCCTAGATGAAATCATACAGTGTGATTCCATTGATATGAAAATTTTAAATATGTAAAATTAAACAACAGACTTTTTAGGGATACAAACATATTTGGTAAAACTACGAAAAGCAAGGTAACTGTAATCCCCAAATTAAGAGTCGTCATCATACTTGGAAGGGTTTATGGAAAAGCTGGAATTGGGTATTATGTAATTTTTTTAAAAAAAATTTAAAAATAGCCGTTGCCGAAGGAAAGAAGAAAAAAAAAAGGAAAAAAAAAAATTAAAAATAGAAGGAAAAGGCTACTTTTTCAAAGCCATGTCTACCACTTATGAGCTCAGGCAAAACATCTTAGCATTCTAAAATCAAACTTTCTCATCAGTAGAGAGCCCAAGTGGCATAAATGGTTAAGCCCCCCAGGTGCTAACCAAAAGGCAATTCAAACTCACCCAGTGGTTCAGAGACCTTGTGATCTACACGCATAAAAACTCTGCAGGGTAGTTCTACTGTGTTGAGGAATCAGGAATGACTAATGACTAATTACAATAAACCAGAGACAACAATGATAGCTTTATATCCTAGGGTGTTGGAGGGCAGAATGAGGTGAAGCGTGTAAGTGTTCAAGCGCATATTAACGAAACACATGCCTACAAGACCATAATACATGAAGGGAAGGGAGCAGACCTCCCTTCTCTCTCTTTTGGAGGGACACATCCATTCTGACCCTCCATATAGCCCCAGCAACAAAAAATCCTTTACAAACGGAACAACTCTATTTAAAGTGAATGAAGGAGAGAAGGGATGAGGCTATACCAGATATGCCCGTATGACTAGGCCCAGTGGCCTTCACCACTGGAGTCTGATGATCCTCCCACAGCTTAGCAGAAGTGGCTTTGCTACAGTCTCAAGATAAAAGGAGTATGGAGATTCTCTGGGACCAGGGAACTCCTCTAGACAGTTGATGATGACGTCTTCAGCTTTTCTTTTTTTCAGATTAAGTTCGCAATCTTTTTTCACAATTGCGTCTGAACTGTAAGGAGCGGCACGATCAACCTTGGGTGCTGTGCCTTCTGTGATGCTCTGTGGTGCCTCTGCTCCTCTCTCGCTCTTCCCCCTCTGCCCCTCCCTATTCTCGGGAACATGCAGGGCCCAGATGAAGACTGCCCCATTCAACCTTCTCTAGGACAGATCATTAGTTTAAGGCTCTTGTTTTTTGTCGTGTTGAGTATTTTGAGCTCTAAACATCAGGAATGGGGATAACAAAGAGTCCAGAAGGATTCGATGGAATGGAATGGAACTCAGCACCATGATGGAAATGTCTTATCTGTGCATATGCCATGCATATGCCGCTAGCAGTTGACAGGAGACTAGTGTGATTGAGGGACTGAATGTATCATTTCAGTTAAGTATCGGTAACCACACATTGCTAACAGCCCTCCTGGTGGCACAGCACAAGTGTAGAGCACTGGGAAGGTGGGTTGGCTTAGACATCAACACATCACATGTTCAAAGTGAGCCTGTGCCACCTGTCACTGCATGGGTCTACATGTCTGACTGGGTGGCAATTGCGTCAACAATGTATTTGTCTCCTAACAGAAACGTCTTTGCTTTAGGTTGAAAGTTAACTTGACCAAGTTGTATTACAGATTGTCCTCCCAGTCAAATGCTAGTTTGAAAAGGATAACCTACCAGATGTTTAACACATCTGGAATGACACTCGATCGTTTCTAAAGGTGCGAAAATGCTGTCTGCAGTTCACTACGAGTGTTCTGGGGCCAGACTGGTGAAAGCATTGACTGCTAACCAGAGGGTCAGGGATTTCAGCCCACCAGTTGGTCCGCGGGAGGAAAATGAGACAATCTGCCTGGGGAAAGATCTACAGCAGCGGTTCTCCACCTCGTGACCTTTCGGGGCCGAATGACCCTTTCCCAGGGGTTGTCCATGCATCACAGCAGCAAAACGACAGTGATGAAGTAGCAAAGAAAATAATTTTATGGTTGGGGTCACCACAACCTGAGGACCTGTCTGAAAGGGTCGCGGCAGGAGGAAGGTTGATAGCCCCTGCTCTGCAGCCTTGTGCACCACACGGGGCAGCTGTGCGTTGTTGTATACGATTCCCTAGGACACGGAACCTATTTGATAGCCGTGGGTTTGTTTTGATGTATAGTCTACTACCATTCTTACTTCAAAAAGCAAAATCTAGTTATTTTACAATAAAAAGAGAAAACATAAAAGATTTAAACGAGACTAATTCAAACTTGTGGACGTATCCCGTTTAGGCAGCCTTTTCCTGTGGGCGTATCAATGTAATGATAGTAGTACAGATAGCGACCCCTTACATAGTGTGTACTATGGCTAGATAGTGTTTTGATGTAGCTATTCATTTTTACTTACATTAGTTTCACCCTTCAAAATCTATACCATCATCACGCCCATCTTAAAGCAAAGGAGACCAAGGCACAGAGGAGCAAATGACCTGTCCAGAATCAAACAGCTACAAAGTGGCAGAGCGGGTCATGGCGACAGACTTCAGCTTGCCTTTATGTACTTACACAAAATGAGGAACACACTGTGTACACTGCTAGTTTCCCCCATGTCCTTCCTATGTTTTAAAGTGTATTATCGGTCAACTACATATTTATTTCGTTATATCATTTATTTAAATAGATTGTCACTCTTGGACATCTGTGGTGTTTCAATTATTTCTCTATTATGAATAATAGGAAAATATCTGCATACATACATTTTTATATACATTTCTCATGGTTTACTTAAAGTCTAATTTCTAGGAGTCCAATTACTGGGCTAGGGGTCTATATATATTTAACATTTTTATTTATCTTCTAAATCACCTTCCATCAATATCGTACCACCTGCCCCTATTAGCATTTTATTATTCTATTTTCCCACCACAAGAGTACTGTGACTGAGACAAACTTCGTCATGTCTTCCGCGAATGTTTTCTGGCTTAGTTTTTGGTGAGTCTGCTTTTACTTTCCCATATGGGTCAACCTTGAACTTCACTCTGTTGAGTCTAGCTACTTGCCCAAGTCAAAATACTATCCTTATTCTCTGGCCACCCGCGATTCATAAAAACAAACCCAATATTGACCCCCTCTGAAGATCAATGACCACCTGACCCTGGTGTGTACTTTAAATCTAAATTGTTTTGTCTATCTTCGGACTGCCCTAACCCCCAAGTCCCTGCCAGGTACCTAGCTCCAATCTCCTAAAACACCAAAGGAAGTAATCCCGCGGCACAGCAATGGGCTATAGAATTTCTGTGGCAAGTCCCAGGGGTAGCTAATTCTTGGTTCTTGGTTCACAGTACTCAGTAAGAGGCCTTATATCACACACAGGGTAAATGAAGTCAAGGCTGTTACTGGATCTGAGATTCATTTTATAGATACTAAAACTGCTCAGGTGCATATCAGAGATGCAACAGAGAAACAAAATACAGGCTCACTTGGGCTATTCAGCTGATACTATGCTGCTATCAAAAACTCCTAAATGACTGGGTAAAGATCACAAAGCAGAACATGCATGGGGCAAAAGCAGAATTCTCACATGACACCTCCCTGTTCTTTGGGCAGGAGACTGATTACATGTCTGTCAGCATGATCCCTTACGACCATGGCCTCTTGTTCTGTATAATCCACAGAACACGTTACTAGCAGCTTTTCTCATCAGTCAGGAAGGAAACAAGACTTAAAGTTTCAGAGCTGTTGAGAATGAACACATTCACAGGTTTTGTGAAATGAAAACACACTGAAATGCTTTTGTGCTATTTTAAAGATGGGCAACAAAGCCACTGAAGGATCCTGAGCCGTTTGGTCAGTACCACTCCGAACCTCACCGGCAGAGCAGAAGCCAACATGGCCAGCACAGTGTCAGAAGACACAGCATCTCTGCGCCAGCCCCTGGCCTACCGAAGACCAAGCAGGACGCTCATCCTGGTGCCCGTGTGGTCCCCGCACCTACCGTTCTGGGTTAGCTTCGTGGAGCAAATAAGGGTGGCAATCTGGAAGCTATCTTTCGTACTATCCTTGGATGGGGTCAAGTTGGCCAGGGCTTTCGATGCCTGGAGCTCTTTCTCTTCCATCTCTACCCTGGTGCCGGGCAGGGTCAGGTAGAATTTAGCATCCTCCATTCTCTTGTTGTCTCCCTGGGTAGGTGGGGGTGGGTGGGGGGAGAAACACGTTAGGAACACCCAATGGTGGGCAGGATCTCTTACATGCAAACAAAAAAGGTTCTGGTTGGGATCACGGTGTGTTTCATGACACATGAGCAGCACGGCTTCACTGTATTACACTCAACACCCCTTCCAACTCTGAGGTCCTTTGATCTCTCCCCACAGAGGCTGACGCGAGAGTCCAGAAGCAGGGAATTCACGGACTAGAAAGAGCAAGCTGCGAGCTCAAAACCAGTCTAGCCTGGTCTCTCCTAGAGCCAGGAGGTCGACCGGGAAGTAAGGTCGGGTTTTTGTTTGTGCTTTGGTCTCCGAACGTTTTGCCGCTCACAGAGGTACTTCATTGTCTTGATGAGGAAGGAATCTTGAGCTCTGCTTCCCCGAACTACTCATTAAACAAGGAGCCCAAGTTAAGGAGGACACATCACAAAAAACTGCCAACTGTGTCAACATCCCCCTGGAGAGTGCTGGGTGGGACGAGCCCTTGCTGGATCTATGCTGCGCGCTACTATCTCAGCAGAGGCGAGGGCTCAGTGGCAGTTAGAAGGGAAGAATGGGGACACGCTATTGGGGAAAGACACAAAGGCCCACGCGCACATTAAAGGTGCCTGACTCACAGTGATACGAAACCACATCCTACCACAAGCACCACGCTCACCAGCCTCCACCAGGGCACCCGCCTACGTGCCATGCAGGGCCATGCACACAGAAGAGAAGCAGTCAGTTTTTGCCGTGCACTCGCTGTGGAACACCACTGCAGGAGTGGGTGAGATGCTCTTTAAAGGGCAAAATAGTAAGACAACTCACTTTTCCAAACGTTGGGGAGGGAGACCACAGAGACCTCCAGGCTAACAGACGTTACAAGGGGCAAACAAGCAAACCCACATAGAGGTTTCTGCTATGTGTACACATCACACCGAAAGGGGTCTTCAGTGTCAGCTTCAAGAGCAACCGAGCATTCGCAGTGACTCTCGGCGCCTCGTTCTCTCAGTCCCACCTTATAAACCACTAGATCGTGGCGCCCGTCCTGCAGCGTGGTGCCATCCGGGTTCATCAGCTTCACGAAGGCCACCCCAAAGGCGCGCTCCGATTTATCTCTGGCTGAAAAGGCGGAAATACGTGTCTGAGCAGTGCAGCCCCCAGGAGAGCCGGCTGTTGACGATGGCGGATCTCACAACATCTTGCCCTGAGTGGGGACGTTCCCCCACGCCACGACAAACGAGTTCAGCATGCCGCAGTAAGCCACTGCACACACCCTAGCTCAGAGGAGACATTCCCCCCACGGAAGTCTTCTATTGCTCCCCGAGACGGGCCTCTGTCAACGTCCGAGTGAATCAGACGGGCACCCACTAAGCAGCTGAATCAGTAGGGGGGTGTTGACACCGACTTCCCACTCAGGTCAACCTTCATGTCCTACCCACTCTCTGCACCCCTCCTGCTCCTCTTTGAGTTCACACCACCTCCCGACTTACCTGGACGTTGACCCAAGCTTCCTAACTGGCCCGTCTCTAGTCCTGTCCCACTCAGCACACTCCCCACTGCTGCCGAGTGAGTGCTCCATCATCAAATCCAGTCGTGTCACCTGCCAGCTCTGAGGCTTTTTTCAGTGCGACACTCAATGTCTGCTGTTTGAAAATGAAGGGCCTATGAGGCATTGATCAGGATGCCAGGTTTCTGACAGACCTCAGGTTTCTCTTCCCTTCTGCCTCAAGAGAGAGTTCAGGTGGCAGGAGAAGTTGGCATATGAAGCCCAGAGCATTTGGAGAGAAGGCCGGGCCCACCAAGGACATACAGCTCTCCCTCCTGGCCTTCAGGTGGCAGCCTCTGTGCTCACAGGGCTGTCAACCTGGGCGCCTCTAGCGGGCGTCGCCAGGGGCTTGTGGGTCTCTTGTGTATGCCCATATGGGCTAAGTGGAACCCACTGAAGACTGACACCACTATCTGTTTATCCGTTCTCCTGGTGATGGCCATTTGAGCTGTTTTCAATTTAGGAATACCATAAATAGAGCTGTTCTAAACATGGGTATCCCCCCCGACACACACACAAAACCAAACACCCCGTAAAATCTATACAACAGCTCAGTAGCACCTCTATCCTTTATACTCTCTTCCAGCTCCTCTGGAACCAGACGCCTCACTGTCCATCTAGGCCAGCGGTTCTCTACCCATGGGTCGCAAGCCCTTTGGAGGTCAAGCGACCCTTTCACAGGGGTTGCCCGATTCATAACAGTACCAAACTTACAGTTATGAAGTAGCAGAAAGAGAACGTACCTTATAAAATGCCCATGGGGACTAAACAAGAGAGTGCATAAGTAGAGCTCCATACAGTGTCTGGTAGAAATTAAGAGTTCGTTCAACCAAAGCTTAGCATTTTGCAGAACCATGTGAAATGGCTGACAGTCTACTATTCTGACATAAACACAGTTTCTGAGAATTCAGCCCACTGTTGTTGCTATGATCACTGCTCCCATGTCAGCCACACTGAACTCACTTCAGTTCACCAAACACGCGTCTTCAATGACAACCTCTGCTGGGGAAACTTCTATTCACCTTCACGTTTCAGCTTAGACGGAGAACATCTTACACATAACACCCTCGGCAGGGCACAGGGACCGCTGCCAGGTGCTCCATGACAAAGCCTAGACCCCTCTGTCATGGATCACATATGCTGCTGTGTATTCAAACACGAGTTCTCGTCCTCATTTTCCTAAGTGGACCACCGACGCCCTTCTTCGCCTTCCGAACAAGACCACAGAGATTCTACGATAAGTAGTGGGGCCTCTATGGGCTCTCAGATACCCGTGGCTCAGTCTGCAGCCTAGAAGTTAGATGGTGTTCAATAAGTACGTTTTGGGATACAGGATTACAATTGTATATAGTGCCAGGTGAGAACAGAAGATGCTTCCAGAAAATCTGTGACCAACCTGGAATCAATTCCCTTCCCTGTGCATGCTTTAGAGCAATCATTTTGTGAACTGTGATCTCAGCACTGAAATAGTTCTTTCATGGGAAAAGATGGATCTGCTGTTAAATAATTTGAGGGAATCAAGAGATTAAACAGAAAGCTAAGCGAGTTTTCCTGATGCAGCACTTCTCAGCAACACGGCAGCATGCACTGTGACTACCGAACAGCTCACCGCCATTGAGTTGGAGCTAGCCCACAGCAACCACAGAGCACAGGGCAGAACTGCTCCTGGGGGTTTACAGAGACTGTGTCTCTTTCGGAGAGTAGAAAGCTTCCTCTTTCCCCCAACAGTGGGTGGTGCTGATCTTACGACTAGCACCCCAACGTGTGAGCACGACGCCACGGAGGCTCCTGAGTATCAAAGAGGAGGGTGTGATATGTAGAATTTCTCAAACTTTGTACATCGAGGAAGCCCTTTTCTGAGAGCATCTATGAGCATGTCCAGAACTTGAATTACAGAATGCATTGGGGGGGATTCTCATAAAGAGGGACAATCCTGGAAGACCAGCAAAATTCACCGTCTGAATTCCTTAGCATCAGGAAATCCTCAAATAAAGCTGCCACGTGTGCAGTTTGCCAGTCTCTCGTGCTGTAGACCAACGTGAGCACGGTGACAGACAGTACAGTTACCTGTGGAAACGCAGTACTTACATTCCTGTGACGACCTGTGACGGAATGTGAATCTTATATGGCAGCGGGTGACTTCTTCTATGGCCACGGAGACCTGCATTGGAACAAGGAACAGACTGTATTCCTACTCAACTGGAGTTATCAATGACCTCATCTTCCTTACCCCCACCATCAATGTTCATGGAAGCAGCGGTCAAGGGTGCAAAGAACACGTTGCATCTGCTGCACAAGAACTCTTCTAAGTGCTGAACAGCAAGGATGTTACTTTGAGGACTGAGGTGTGTCTGACCGAAGCCATGGTGTTTCCATCGCCTCAGATGCACGTGAGAGCTGGACACTGCATATGGTGCTGGTGAAGGAGACTGAAAGTACCAAGGACTGCCCAGAAAGGCCTCAAACCAATCTGGTTCTGGAAGAAGTACACCCGGAAGTACAGCAGAGGCGAGGGGGCAAGGCTATGTCTCATGGACGTGAGCTACGGTACCAGGAGGACCAGTCCCTGGAGAAAGAAACTGTGCTCGGTGTAGTGGAGGGACAGTGAAAACGAAGAAGGCTCTGGACCCGACGAGTGGACACCGTGGCTACAACGACTGGCTTCACCGTGAGAAGCGTGGCGTGGCGCGGGCCACGCGGTATTTGACTCTGCTGTAGCGTCACCACGACTCAACAGCACCTAACAACAGCCGCTTTCTAAAGAGCACAGTTTGGTGTTGTCTCATTCAAGGAGATTTTGCCATTCTCAAACCCAGTCAACCCAGAACAGTGGTTCTCAACCTGTGGGTTGCGACCCCTTTGGGGGTGTCAAATGAGCTTTTCACAGGGGTCGGCTAAGACCATCAGAAAACACATATTTCCCATGGTCTTAGGAACCGAGACACCCCTCCTCTATCCGTCTCCATGTGGGTCCCCCCACATGCACATACGCTCACATATGAGTACCTGGCATGAAGACTGTTACCCATGCTACAACATGCTTCAAAACAAAATTTCATTTATTTGTCATCAGAAATAAATATTTCACAATACAGAATTACATATTGTTTTTGTGATGAATCACTATGCTTTAGTGAGGTTAAATTTGTAACCATGAAACTACATCCTGCATATCAGATATTACATGACGATTCCTAACAGCAGCAAAATGACAGTTATGAAGTAGCATGAAGATAACTTTATGGTTGGCGTCACCACCACTTGAGGAACTGTATGACAGGGTTGCAGCATTAGGAAGGTTGAGAACCACTGACCTAGAAGCTAAGTCTTTACTGTTAGTGTAGGTTCTCAGTATGGAGACACTACAAGTTTCTAGTATTTTCTCATGTATGAACCAGACGCTATTTCAAAGGGAAAGGCTAATATTTTGTGATCTGTATGGGACATTTCAGAGTAAGGAGTATTAATAGAGGGATGTTGCTATGGTAATAATTAGGGTCTACAATAGAAGGGGTCCTTGAGTGGTACAAATGGCTAATGTGCTGAGCTATTAGTTGAAAGCTTGTTGGTTCGCATCAGCCAGAGGCATCTTGGGAGAAAGGACTGTCCATTTACTTCAAAAAAAATCCGTCACTGAAAACTCCATGGAGCTTAGTGCTGCTCTGACGCACACCGGGTTGTCAAGAGTCAGTCTATAGCAACGAGTTTCTTATGAGAAGGAAAAGCTCACACAGAGGCTGCGTCAGGGAGCCGGTGGTGCCTTACATGCATAAAGGGAGCAGAGACAAACAGGGATGTTGGGCATCGAAGAAGAACGAATGACACAAGTTAAATCTATTTTGGCAGAATATTAGACAGTGAAGTATTATGCAAGTATTGAAAGATATGATTCTGATAAACCTTTAACACCTTGAGCTAAAGTAGGTTTAAAAAGCAAAATACAAAATAGTATAAATAGGAACTGAAACTCTGTAAAATATACAAAATCATTGGAAATGGTTATTTCGACACTGGGACAACTATTGTATATACCCAAGTATCAGCCGAGGCACCTAATTTTACCACAAAAACTGCATTAAAAATGTGCTGAAAAACTCGGCCTGTACACGAGTATATACGGTAGTTTGGTTTGGCTCTTTTAATTGACGTACTTGTCCCATTTTTTATGAATCTTCTATAAAATGCTCGTGCAAATTTGAGAATCAGGAAAAGACTGATAGAGCTTGGGTTCAGAAGTGGGCTCTGGGTTCGGCTTTGGCATTAAGTAGCTACAGGTTATTGGGAAGTCATGTAACCCCTTTGGATCTTAGTGCCTTCATCAGGAGGAGGGCATTGAAATACCAGGTGGTAGGCACTGGGCTAGTGTGGGGACCAAACAAGCAGATGGCTCTGAAAGCACTTTAGAAATCTGTAATTTTACAAAGACAACAACCACTCATGGCCACGAAGCCCTTCCAACTCCCAGTGACCCTGTCTGACAGGGTAGGGCTGCTCCTGTGGGTTCCGAGACTGGAACTCTTTACCGGAGTGGAAACCCTCGTCTCTTTCCCACAGAGCAGCTGATGGTTTCAAATTGCTGACCTCCAAGTTAGCAGCCCAACCCAGAACCGGCAGACCACCCGGGACCTCCCTCATGCCACCAGGGTGGGCTCCATCGGAGGCTCAGAAAAGTTGGTGAGAGGTCAAGAGATTAGGCATGCTAGGAAATGAGTTGCAGAGAGCAGCAAGGTGACTGAACCTTTCCATTTGGTGTTCAATCTTTGTGACAGTCTAGTCACGCATCGTTACAGCCACTACTTATTCAAACCCCTACACCTTGCTGAATGCAAATGTTCAGCACACCGAGCTTATTCGAGCGAGATACTGTCTTCCAACAGAATGATCATCATCGAAACAGCGCACCACAGACCACCCAACTAAACCTTCGGGATAAAGTAAGACCGATCTCTGGCTAAAAAGGAAGACAAAGATCTCAGCAAGGCCGACCCTGCGGCGGCGCTGTGCTCGTCACATGTACAAAACGAGAAGGGAAAAACACGGGGCGGGCTCACCTTGACGGTCTCATACCAGCAGGGCTGCTTGACTTGGTAGTAGACCACGGACTTGTACTCTGAGATGCCTTCATATCCAGCACCGGGATGAATCGCTTTCTTTGGAGGGGGGGAGAAATTAGGAAGAGACAATGACCATGAGGAAGAATACCAGTACTCCGTCCATCATGCCCAGACGCCCAGAAGCTGATTAAAGTCAGGGTGAACAGGAGAGCGAGGCTGATGCGTCACGGTTGTGTGTTTGAGAGCTAAGTCCACAAAGCTGACGGTAGCTAAGGGACAGCCCCGGATTAGCACTCTTCTCTCCAGGAACGGATCCTCTCATCCATCCTCAGCTGCACAGGCTCCTCTTTCTGCTTCTCTTCCCTTAGGCAGCACATGGGCAGCGAGGGTGACCAGCTCTTTCACATGTGCAGACATACTGGTTGGAGGCCAGCAGCTTCTTCCCAGGACATTCTACTTTGAGAACTTGGTGTATAGCCTTAGTAAGTACATGGAAACTCAGGGCAGACTCTTCCCCTAGGAATGCACCACTAACTCAGGAGACTTAAGCCTTGCTTGGACGCTTCCCAGCAAGTTAGAAAAACTCAAATAACCAACTAGGAGGAGCTAGGTACTTGGCATGAGTTCATGGGATTTAGGGACCTAGTCCAATAGCATCAATAAAGCTCTCCCATGCTATAATCCACAGCATTCCGTTCATCCCTTTAACACAGACTACTTAGACTTGACTTAGTAAATTGTTTGGATAGATGCTTCCTTCCAAGATCATAAGACCTTGGGGAAAGTGAGGAGATGTGGAGTTTGCTGTGCTCCGTAAGTACTTGTACCAGAACACACTCCGTGAGGTTTCCTGAACTTAGGGCAGGGTTCTTGGAGGCCACAGCCCCTCACCTGAGAGGGGCAAGATTTCAGCTGGGGCAATGAGCGCCTCCCTTAACCATCCCCGGTCTAGCCCTTTCTTTGGTGTGAGAACGCAACACGTATTCCTTCTCTGTATGAACAGGATACAGCCGGAGGGACTGGAAATCAGGAGACCTGACTCCATTCCTAGCTCCGTCAGAGATTCCTGTGTTATCTGGAGAATATAACCTAGCCTCGCGGGGTGCCGTTTCCCGTTTATTAAAACAACAGAGCAGTGATAGCTGACCTCTCACCAAGGTCTCTGCTATGTCAGCAATCCCAGTGTGGTCGCTGTTTGTTGAAACATGGTTTCCTTATGTAAGTCTACCTTAAGTAAGAGAAAGAAATATGTCTTCCATTACTGTATAACCTATAGAGCAACCCCTTCCTGTGACGTATGTCTTTACCTGTAATTAGTGGGCTTGCACACCCCCAAAGGCATATAGGCCTGAGTTAGCAATAGAGAGAGCTCCCTCCCTCTCTCTCAGCTCCTCCCTTGACCTCTCCTTGGCTCTCTCTCCTTCCATTTCCCCTTCCCCTTGTCCTCCTTCCTTTCCTCCTCTCTCCATGTGGACCACCAAGCGGGGCTGAGGTGAGCATTGCTACCATGAAATGTGTCTAACTCCATTATTTTAATATCTCTTTTCTCTCATGCTCTCGATGACTTTAATATACTTATATATCTCAACCGTACAATTGTGCTTATTAAACCCATGGTTAGTGGTGGGGGGCTGGCCACCCCACCTCCAACCACATCTCCCGAACACCCATGCCTCACCACCCAAGCCCTGGAGGGTCTTCTCAGCCAAGAGAGTGGCTCAATACAAGGGGCTTTCCAAAAACCCGTGGAAAAATGGGATTAAAAGATAATGGAGCTTTCCCACCACCTTTCTGTAGCCTGCTCAGAACTTGGAAGTGATAAGGAACCTTTGGGGCATGGAACTTTATACATAAAACCATTAGTGGATTGAGATATTTCTTAGCACAGGACAAATGTGAAATTAGGAATCTGAATGGGGCAATTAGCAAAAATGGTCCTTTGCTGATCACAAATCTAACAGGTTTGATGTGTTCTCCTTATAAACACCCGAACACGCCGTACGGAGAGAAGAGTTACAGCCACACGAGAAGTCCACGGCTACTGGAGAGGCACGTTCGAGGACAGCAGCACTGCTGGCACGGCCACATACCTCCAAGAGCTTGCCGTCTTCATCGTACACAGACATGGTCACCTCCACGTTCTTCGGCGTCTTCTTCTTCCCTTTGTCAAACTCGCCGTGAATCAGGGTGACATAAATATCATTCCGAACATCTCCTAGAACAGAACCACCCATCCTGTGAGTGTGGCTGAGAGATGCCGTATCTGAGTTGCGGCATGTGATAAGATAGAAAAGGTAAGGGAAATATGAAACCGTCTGGCTTGGTGATCAACATACAGCACAAGTCTTTTATAAGGATTGCTCTCTGTAGTTTCCCTCCTTCAGTAAAATCCACACACGATTTTACTGAGGGGTAGCTCTTCTTACGAAATAACACTTTTCATCAGCACTTTTTTCTTCCACGTATTAATAGCTGCTATCTAATAATAAGTACAAAATGCATTTTTACTACATTATAGTGGCAGTCTGTTTTTCACACCAAAACATCTTGGGGAGTGTGATATTTTTACCTCTTCTGATAATAGTGTAAGCTAATGTTTACTGTATTCTGACTATGTGGCAGGCAATGTTAGGGACTTATCTGCAGGAATGCAATCTACATAACAATCTGATAAGAGAGATACTATTTCTGTAAGTCTGAGAGTACTTTATGTTCATTTAAATCAACTTAGTTGCCTTGCACCAGCACTAATTACTACTTGCATTTACTTGTTCATTTTTGTTAACTAGTGAAAAACATCTTTGAAACTAACGACTCAAGTCCCCATAGATGGAGCCTTGGTGGTGGAGTGGTTACAAGTTGGGCTGCAACCAGTAAGGTTGGCAGTTCAAAACCACCAGCTGCCCTGAGGGAGAAACAGTTAGTCTTGGCAACTCACGGCCAGTTCTACCCTGTCGGTAGGGACTCAATCGCAGTAAATGAGTGTGAGTGAGTGCGCATAGTAGGGGAAAAGAGTTTCAGATTTATTCAGGTGAATAGAAGCAAGTGGAAAGGAACATCCAAATCCTGGGTAGGAAGGCTTGGTATTATAAAAATGACTCCACACCCTGTGTTGTACCAAACTGTTTCTCCCGGGTAAAAAGGAAACCCTTAGTGCATGTAAAACACGCAAGCTCAAAGGGTGCTATTAATGACAGTGAAAACTTGTAAACAGCCTAGATTTCCAACCACAAAGCCTTGGCTGAATGAATTCTGGTACAATCTGATAATGAAATCATACACATTCATTCCTGTAACATGACCCAACATCCATTCTGTACCAAGCACTGTGGACAATGGGGGGAGCCCTGCATCAGCCTGGCCCTCAGACAACCCAACGTCTAGTCGGGGAGAGATGAAGTAGCCCCAAAATGACACACTTGGATTCTCACTACACACGGAGGAAGGACATCAGAGCTCTGTGACATCAGAGCTGCAGCTATGGACCTTCTGCAGGGGGTGAGGAGCATCCTCTGAGCTGGCTCTGGAGTGATGAGGAGAACAGACCGTGAGGACAGCATGGGCAAAGGACGGGGCGTCCATGTGCGGCGAAGCTCCAGGTAAAGAGGGATGCAAAATTCCCCTGAAGCTGACAGGCCAAGGTCAAAGGTCTACCTTTAGCTTACCTCCATACAGAGAAAAGTCATGGCCAGGCTTTAAGCAAGGGGAGGGAAAAGACCGGTGTGTATTTATAAAAATGCCTCCCTGTTCCAGTGTGGGAAAGAGGGTATGAGGTAAGACTGGGCAGGGAAGGAGAATCCCTTAGGAAGCTGCAGTGCTGTCCGATGGACGGGGAGAAGACAGTAGCCAGGACTCGAATTCTGGAGCAGAAAATGGAGAGTGGATGGATTGGCGGTCTCCTAAAGGGCCATGCACAGACAAGGCTAGGCACTCGTCTTCAATGAGGTATACAGGAGAGATGGGGGTCACGTGTGACTTTCAGGCTTTGTGTCTGTGCAGCTAAATAGATACTGGGGTCATTTGTTCTCCTGGAGAGAACAATACTGAGAAGTCCTGGTCTCAGTGCCTAGTCGTAAGAGTTATACAGAGACGGTGAGTAAGAATTAACTAAGTAAAGAGGTGGGAAGAGCGATCCAGGTAGGGAGGGTGGGAATAGTTATCTACTAAAGTCCTGACGTAGGAAGTAGTTGGATAGTCGGCCGGGAGTTCAGAGATTCTGGGCAAGATAGGGACTTGGGGGCAACTAACGTTAGACGAGGAAGGAGATGCGCTCACCCAGGGAGAGAATTCGAGGAGCAGAAAAGAGCTGCAGCACTGCCCGTGAGTCATTCCAGGCTGACTCATCGAGCCCTCATGGACCAGAGGACAATTGCCCCTGTGGGTTTCTGAGACCATAAATCTTTATAGGAGCAGGAAGTCTCTCTTTCTCCCCATAAGTGGGTGGTGGTTTCAAACTGCTGACCTCAACTGCCCAACGCAGAACCCATTATGTCACCAGGGTTCCTAGAGGTGTGGGAGAAGATAACGAATTAACAAAGGCATCCCAGGAGCCGCCCAGAGGAACAGAGAACAGCAAGAGGGCGTGGGGCCACAGATAACAAAGGAGGAAACTATTTCAAGAAGGGAGTGGTCAATAGGAAGCAAGCCCGGCTGCTTCCTGGGGAGCGATGCTCTCTAGGTGAGAAGTTGGATTCAAAGGCACTGTTGTGGCTGCTCTGGAGAGCAAGGGGGAAAGAAGTCGATGGAAACAGGCTGGATGGTGACTGTTGTTGTGAAGTGCCATAACAACTCTGCACACAACAAGATGCAGCCCCGCCTGGAGCTGCGCCTCCCTCACCACCACTGCTCTGCTTGAGGCCACTGCTAGAGCCGCCGTGTCCACCCAGCTCACTGAGTCGTCCTCTTCTCCACTGAGCCTCGGCCAAGCATGGCGTCCTTCTCCCGGGATTGGTCCCTCCTAGAAAAAACCACCTTCCAAGCACTTGAGATAAAATCTTGCCACGTCTCTTCTGAGGAGCGTTCTGGTCGGACTTCTTCCAGGGCAGGCCGGCTCATTCTTCTGGCGGTCTCTGAAATATCCAAAGTTCTTCATCCGCACCATAATTCCAAGGCATCGATTCTTCTCCGCTCTTCCTTGTTCGCTGTCCAGTTTTCCCCGAGGCGTCTGAGGAGACCGAAAATGCCATGACTCGGATGACATGCACTTTAGTCTTCAAAGTGACATTTTGGCTTGTTAATCTTTTAAAGAGCAGATGTGACCAGCACAATGATGTCGTTTGGGTTCTGGACTGCTACTTTTATCAGCGGTGATTGTGGATCGAAGCTGTGAAATCCTTGGCAATTTCAATATTAGCCCCATTTGTCACGATGCTGCTTATTGGTCCAGTTGAAAGGATCTTTGTTTTATGTTGAGGTGTAATCCACACGGAAGGCCAGACTTGCAACTTCATCAGTGAGTGCTTCTGACCGCTTCATTTTTGGCAAGCAAGTTGAACATATCACAGGTTGCTGAGGAGCCTTCCCCCAATCCTGATGCTGCATTCTCCTTCATGCAGTCCAGCTCCTCAGATGATTTGCTCAGCAGACAGACAGACTGTACGGTGAAAAGGCACAACCCTGATTTCAAATCACGCTGCATCCTCTTGTTCTGCTTCAACTGCTGCTACTTGGTCGGGACACAGGTTCTGCAGGCACACGATGTCGTAGGGTGGAAATCCAAGTCTCTGCAGTGCCATCTGTGGTAGTTACACAATCTGGTGTCAACGTGAGACTATTAAGAGTGAAGGGGTGGAGTTTGGCCTGTCCATCAGGTTGCAGCTTGATGACTTCATTTGTAGGCGCTATGGAGATAAATAGCTCACTGGCGGTCAGACCCACTGTCTCTGCTTCGTATTCCTGATGACAGGACACATGGAGCTACACTGAAGGAACCAGAGCCCTGGAGCTGGAGGATCCACGTGGAGACCCACGCCAGCACTGAGATGCTTCCACTGCCAGTGAATCTACAAGACTTCCCACCCACTAGCCTGTGATCTTCCATTTCATGTGTTGCATGAGTCTGAAGAGGAATTTATAGAATGGTATTGGACAAATGAGTTAATATCAGACTTA